AAGATGACATAACTATATTTAAATAAATGTAGATTGTTGTACATGAAAAAAAGTCCCCTGAAAATAAGTGCTAATATATTCTTTGGAGCAAAAAGTAATATAATTCCCTGTCTTATTTTTAGGGAAACACAGTATTTTTCAGCCAAATGTGAGCCAGCTATTCTGGTTTCAGTCAAGACCTTTTGTCAGGATTTCTGCTTTTCTCTTGTGCCTCCTTTTTTTCCTCTGTGGGGGAGGTGTCTTTGTTCACAAGCATGACACAATTATGATGAGAGAATGTTTTGTGAGGTGGCTGAGGTAGCTTCACTCAGCTTCCCTTCCACATATACAACCCTCCATTTTCTAAAATGCTTGTGACACTCCTCGTAAAAAGTAATTAGCTTTGGGTTCTTCAAAGACCTTCTAAGTAAGAAGTCCAACAAAACCGCCATGCAACCAGTATACACTGAAATAGATTTCCCCCAGCACGCGACTCAAAAGATGTTGGGGCTATTAGCTTTCCCCTCCCTTTTCATTATAGAACTTGACAGATATGAGGGCAAAGGTGAAAAGCAATAACTTCCTCACACCTGAGGCTCTAACGCTACCAATGTAAAACCCCAACACCCAGGTTATGAGCTGGGTGTGGAGGGCTGAGCTCCAGAGGCAACGTTGGTGGGAGGTGGGATGAATCACCTTCTCAGAAGCCTCAACCTTGACAGAAATGAGGGCAAAGATGAAAAGCAATAACTTCCTCACACCTGAGGCTCTAACGCTACCAATGTAAAACCCCAACACCCAGGTTATGAGCTGGGTGTGGTGAGCTGAGCTCCAGAGGCAACGTTGGTGGGAGGTGGGATGAATCACCTTCTCAGAAGCCTCACAGAATGTTTGAAAATATGGGAATGTAAACCTCCTGGAACAACATCAGTCTTGACAGATTTATAAGACTGTGGGGAAGTTACCTGTTGCCTCTGATGAATCTGATGGGGGAAAACATTCTCTCTCTGGAGAAACACACCTGTACAAGCTCTGCTCCTCTCATAAGGAACAAAGCTAGACAATGGTAATGCATGAAGGCACCTAAAGCCTGTGAGGAGCGTGGCCGGTTGCAGGAGAGAAAAGGACACACATCCTGGACTTTTTATAATTGCTTACAAGAGGGAATTTTAACAAGCCTGACTTACCGTATTTTTTGCACCATAAGACGCACTTTTTTCCAACAAAACAGGGGGGTGGAAAGTCTGTGCGTCTTATGGAGCGAAGAAAACAGATTATATTTTCCTGTTTTTTTTGTCCTCCTAAAAAATTGGTGCATCTTATGGAAAGGTGCATCTTATGGAGCGAAAAATACGGTACATTGGTAAAGTACATCTGGTGAAGTGCCTTTTAGGCAATATGAAAGGTTCAGGAATGCTGTCTCATTGTTCCTATATTCACCCTTTCCCTTAAAAGTGGTGTCCTCCAGCTGAGCCATCAGGAGGGCAGGGCTTCTAGGGCTTTGACCAATGGTGGAAAATTTAAAGGGTACAAAAATATGGTGCTGAAAGAGCAAAACCCCACCAGCCTGAATTTCTACCACTTGCAGGTACTTTTCTCTAGGAAGAAAAAAGCGTAAAGCGGGCAAGCTCAGCATGGAATCAATATGGAGCTTGCATAGTCTAATCTTAGGCATCCTCCTCATTGGCACATCTGGTCATGTGTACATCAGTCTCACATGACCCAAGATTAACCAATAGGGCAGCAAAGTCCCAGGGAACAACATTGGTAATCACAGCTCTGCTCTCCAGACATTTTAGATTAGAGGTCGTATCATCTCTCACCATTAGCATGGTATCTGGACACTTTGAGATCTACCATTCAAATTTATTATATGGAATATTATGGAGTATTTCTATTTAAACCCCACTTAGGCTCAGATTGGCAAAAACAGGTCCATGTTGCATTCGCATGATAAGTCTCAAAGTGTCCGAACACCATGCTTTGCTGCCCTATTGGTTAATCTTGGGGGGTCATGTGAAATTGATGTATATATGATATGATGTTCCAATGAGGAGGAAGCTTAAGTTTAAACTATGCAGACCGCACTTTTTCTCCAGGAAATTAGATGTAATGAATGAAGGTGGCCACATGAAAAAATGAAGACAGGACTTCTGTACCTTTAAGAATTATATGGAATTCAGCAGTTCCCTTTTTAAATGCAGTTATTAAAGGTACACCAGCCTTTTTTTCCTTTTTATGTCACTATCCTTGACATCATAATCATCAATAATAATAATGATAGAACTTGAGAGCTGGACGGGACCCTATAGATCATTAAGTCCAGCTCCTGTCAAAGAGGCACAGTGGAGAATCGAACTCCCAACTGCTGATTATCCCCTGCCTTCTCAGCTGATCTAGCCACTTATCAGGCCCAGTCTGCATGTTTTTCCACCTCCTCAGCTAATCTCCCAGTCACTGGCGAGTAGCTGATGGAGGTAGGGGAGGGGAGCAGCAGCACCTATGCTGCCGCCTTTAAGAACCAGATGAACTACCATATTTTTCTGTGTATAAGACGCCCTCATGTATAAGACGCCCCCCACTTTTCTAATCCAAAATTAAGAAATCTAAGTGGAGCTTAGCAAGTGTAGGGGAAAAGGGATCAAAGTGCTGCAGGATTGCTTTGATCCCTGCTTTCCCCTCCACTTGTTTTTGTTCTCTCCTCAGCTTACTTCCGTGTATAAGACGACCCTCAATTTTTAGACTAAAGATTTTAGACAAAAGTATATTATACACAGAAAAATATGGTAATTCATGCCCATCTCTGCTCCTAGTATCTCAGAACATACCTCCCCCAACTCGGGGTGTCCATGCCCATCTCTGCTCCTAGTATCTCAGAACATACCTCCCCCAACTCGGGGTGGGGGGGAGGTTGCCTTTGTTTCCTGCTCTGTCTCACCCTTTATTTTATTTTATCCCATTTGCATACCTTTTCTTGCCTGATGCAATTCACCAGACTAAAACCATTCCACCATATGCGAAGGAACAAAAAAGGAAAGACAAACCATGTGTTGGACATAACTGCAACTATATCTGAGAAGCCAAGTGCTAGGTCCTAGTCAGGGTTAGCCTTTCCCTCAGGCACAGGGAGGCAGTTCCCCTCAAGACAAAGATTTGGGCTGTCTTTAAATTGATAGCTATTTAAAGAACTGGTAACCATCATCATCACATGCCTCCAAGCTAAGAACAATGAGTGTACGAAGGTGGCTTACAGCATTGAAAGACAATAATTAAAGCTAAAAAAACAATTATACAATAATAAAAAGAATCAAACAAAGATCACTCTAAGAAATGGTAAACAAAAACAATACTAAAAACACATTCAAAGCAGTAAGGGAGAACAATTCATCTAAAAACCCCACTCAGGCAGCCAGTCACTCAGGGAAAAGCTTGCCTGAAGAGATCTTTGTCTTTGTCTGCTTGTAGAAGGACAGCAAAGAGGGGTCCAGGCTGGCCTTTGGTGGGGGTTCCAGAGCCTCGGAGAAGCAACAGAGAAGACCTTCTCCCATGTCACCACCAAATGCACCTGGTGAAGGTGGTGGGGCTGAGGGAAAGGCCTCTCTTGATGATCTTAACACCCAAGCAGGCTCATAATGGGAGATGTGGTTCTGGAGATGGTTTGGAGCCCACTTCCACACATCTTGGAGCCCACTTCCACGCATGCAAGTTAATGCTAAAACCCTGGCAGTCTTCCACATGCTGCAAGACCCTTTTCTTGGTTGTGCTACAACAGACTAGCATAATTACTCTGCCTCAAAAATCAAACCACCATACTTTTATCTATATATTTATAGCTATGTACAGTTTATTTTCTAACTGGAAAACCTGACTCTCACTCCAAGTTAGTATTTTTTTTAAAAATGGGCACACAATGATATTCAGTAATCAAGACCATATGAAACACAACATGGATGTGTTTTGCCAATCTGAGGCCGAATCGGAGCTTCAGAATTGGACGTGATAACACATGGGTCTCTCCAGAAACTCATCTTCAAAGTTGCCAAGTTTGAAAAATCAAAATGCAAATAGAGCCCATTAATTTTTCTTTTCATGACTGATTGCCAGACAAGCTAATCTGCAACTTCTGAAGCCGTCTATCCTTTAATTTGTGGCTATGCCCGATTTATCAATGTTGAGGAGGGTTTCCTCACGGGGTGTGTACAAGATAAGGTAGGGAGTGGGAGGAGGAAGCTCTCTCTTTTCTTCTTAACACTTAAGTGTTGCCCTACGTTTGAGACGTCTAAGAAAGTTTATATCACAATTCATCCCCAAATTTCTTACTGTTGTTAAACTGATATTATTTTATTGTTTTTATTCCATTTTATTATGAGCCGCCCAGAGTAGACATTGGCTAAATGGGTGGGATACAAGTTTAATTAGTTAGTTAGTTAGTTAGCTAGCTAGCTAGCTAGTTAGTTAGTTAGTTAGTTAGTTAGTTAGTTAGTTAGTTAGTTAGTTAGTTAGTTAGTTAGTTAGTTAGTTAGTTAGCTGGCTAAATGGGTGGGATACAAGTTTAGTTAGTGAGTTAGTTATCCCTGTCTATGCTTTTATTCAATTTATTCCGCTAAATAATTATACAAACATTTTCCAGGTTTAAAAAAAAAGGCCCCCTGCCCTTTACTCTTAAAACATGACACTTACCAACAGAGCAGAAGAGCAGAAGAGAAAACCCCAGGAAAAGACACTTGCTGTTCATCTTGGAAAAACTTGACAAAAGAACAAAAGAGACAGAGAGGGAGTGAAGGAAGAATGTGCCCGTGAAAATGGGTAAGGAAATAAAGGAGACAAAAATGCTCTACTCAGCAGCTCAGGAACAAGGACTCCCTTCTGACCAGATGCCGAGATGGGAGGTCTTAAGATGAAGCATTTATGTTCATCAAGTCAATTGGGAATGAGCCAATGAAAGAGTCAGATGAGAAATGACACACCTAAATTTTGGAGAATGGAGAACAAGGAGTGTTGTTGTGTGTCATAAAGGGGTGATGGGATGAAGACGGCATAATTCCACGACTGTTGGGAGAGAAGAATCTGCATCCACATAAAAACCCACTATTCCTGTCTGACTGCTAATCCAGTCCTGACTTGTTCATAAACAGAATAGCGAACTCACATAACCAATATCTAGATTTTCTCTGTGTTGCTCCATCACAGTTTCTGAATGTTCTAGAAAGCAATGATAGCCGTGGGCTGCCATCATATGTGGTATCAATCTGGTACAGAGTGATGAGCTAGGACTCAGGAGACCTGGGTTCGAATCCCTACTCAACCCTGTAAACTCACTGGGGATGTGGAACTGGTAACATCACTCCTTAAATACTTCACTTACCTCAAAAGCCCTGTTGGGGTTGCTATAAGTCAGATGCAACCTGACATAACATGATATCCTACCATATGTTGACACATTCCTGGCAACTGTAATGCTCTCTACGTGGAGCTACTTAGGAGACTGATATGGAAACTCCAGCAGGTCCAGAACATGGTGGCCAGTTTACATACATCCCCAATCTTGGCTGCCCTGCATTGGTTACCTGCCCATTTCCACATCAGCTTCAAGGTGATGGTCTCAAAGCCCTAAATGGTTTGGAATCTCAATACTTGGCAGAACACCTACTCCCATCTGCCCATCTTACTTCCTTAGCTCAGACTGGACAGCGGAGGATACTGACCCCAGGAGAGGACTAGAAGGAAAAAACAAGGAACTGGGCCTTCTTGGCGGTCAATCCCTGGTTATAAAACCAACAGCCACCTGCTATCCTCCTGGCCCCTTCCCCGGTGACTTTTAAGTCACAGCTAGAGTAGGACCATTGAATCAATAGAACTTTTAGAAGAGTCAACTTACCAAATCCCCATTGATTCATTGGGACTGCTCTAGTTCCAACTTACTACAGTGGAACCTCTACTTAGGAAATTAATCCGTATTGGAACGGTGGCTGCAGGTTGAAAATTCTGTAGGTCGAGTCTCCATTAACCTACAATGCATTGAAAACCGATTAATCCCGTAACCGGGCGTTTTTGTTCCATTTTTGTTCCATTTTGGTTTTGTTTTTTTTTTCTGGTCTGTAGGTTGATTCTCTGGCTGCAAGTCGAACCTAAATTTTGCGGCCAGAGAAGTCTGTAACTCAAAAAGTCTGTAAATCGAGCCGTCTGTAAGTCGAGGGTCCACTGTACTGGATTTCAACCAGAGAGGCACATAGAATACACACAATCCATCTATATTATCACAGAACATAACTTTTTAATTTATTGTTTGTGAACCCTCAGAATAATCCCTTGCACTAACAGGGTGGTATAAAAATCTATTAAGTAAGTAAGTAAGTAAGTTTTTCCTCCCTCCCATTTCAGATCCTCAGTTGAGCCAAAGGGGAGAAAGCCTTAGCAACAGTATACATTGATTGGAAGGGTTTTAATGGACATTTTTTACAGTGTTATGTGATGTTTCACCTGCCCTGATATGTTATTTTTGCTCAGCATTTTTTGTGATTTTAGTGTCTTTACTAAGTTTTAATCATTTTAGAGTGTGACAGATTTATAGGTCATTTGCCTCGTGTGCCTTTGATTTGGAAGCCCAAGGGTATGACTTTGGCATTTGGATCAAATGACCCATAAATGGATGTCCTGAATTTTCAGAAATGGTTCCACTTAGGGATATGACTTGGCCAAAATCCTCGACCAAACTAGACTGATTTGGATTGATTTTGATGAAGTCCAAAGCATGGTGGAATTAGCTAAACTGGGTCCAAATTGGATCCAGATCAGTTTGAATCATTTCTGCCATGCAGTACCATAGTGCAAAAAAGCAGCATGTGTACTAGGAAACATTAACCACAATACAGCAAATTTTAAAGGTGGACAGCACAAAACCCCTGGGGCTGTATCTCATGAATTTTGCCAGAAATTATCAAAACATGAAGACACTTTATGTTCTTATGTGGGGAAAAAATTAAAAGCTTATGCTTCTTTGTAAAACTTTTTTAACAGTGGCTAGCATAATCATCCCTCTTGGAGCGATATAGCAAAATAATTTAATGTCAGTTAAATTTATTTCCATGGAAAAAAAGAAAAAAATATTACAGCTATTTCAATTTTTCAATGCAAATCATTGAGAGCATGTATTTCTGGATTTGGATTCGGGCTTAAATTGGTTTGGATCAGATCTGATTTGTCAGGACTGAATCCAGCTCAGGGTGTGACTTCATTGTGCTTTGATTCACAGTCTCTTATATGGCCATATTCTGTTTAGGTGATCACATGAAGACCCCACATTGTTTCATTGACAATGTTCACACTGGCTCTCAATTTAGTGTGATTTGATATGTGCTTACAGCCAACCCATCTAGTGATCCCAGCTTTCTTCTATTTGTGTGTGTGCAGAAGTGATCCAGACAAATATATCAATGCAGAGATAAGGTGATATAGCCCCTGTTTCACACCATTGTAACACTATCCAGAGTCATACCCTCATCCTTTTGTTGTTGCTGTTTAGTCATTTAGTCGTGTCGTGACCCCAAATGGTCACACAAGGGAGAGCACTGTCTGAATCATTGCAGCTTTAAACAAGTAGAAACATTGAGTAATAGAGGGGAAAATTCAGAGAAGTAAAAAGGGCTGGGCTGATTTGCATTGAGCTTTGCATTGTGAGATCATGACAGTATCTGTCAATGTAGTCACAGTCTCCAATCTAAATCACCAAAATGGATCCCAAACTAAATTGGGGATCCTCGCACAACCAAGGTTTAATAGGCAATTCCTGCAGCGTTGTGTTTATACTATACAGATGTGTAACATTATATCCTTTTCCTTCAGGCATATTAAACATAATTATGTAGTCTTTGACAGTACAGTATCAACATTAGCCTTGAATTTACACATTGTAGTATTTTATTGCTCTTTCATCTTGTGCTTCAGAATTTGGTTGATGCTTTTTGGAGATCTATGAGTCATCATATCACTTTATGCTTAAACCCAAAGATGTGAGTAGAATTTTTAATGACAGCACCCTCTGGAGGTCATGAATTCATATAGTCATCATAATTCAGAAATAATTTGAATAATAATTTAACCATAGATTCCAAAACTACTTTTGGTAACAGCTCTCTTTGGGGTTACAATAACATAAAATATAACTTCCTCAATCAGATCAAAGGCCTATTTAGTTTAACATTCATGATCAACCCACATTATGAGACAGAAATCACAGAACCTTGCTAAGCTAGAAGTGTACTAGTTCACACATAACATTTGGAGGCACTGATCCTGTGATTCTGGAGATAATACATATTCAATTATAAGAAAAGCCAAAATTAACATTATCTGATGTTGATTCAAGTTCTGCAAGCCAGAAAATTAGAAGCTAGGGCTGATGCTTTAACAGATGTGCCCTGTGATAAGGAATGACATTGTGTAATGTCGTACACGGGGCATCAAGAATGGGATTTTTGGTGTTTGTCTCGAGTCTACAAGACAGGTAAGCCTCCTAGAATGGAGAATCATGGCATTAGTGATCCAGAATTATGAAAATATCATCCCTTTTGGGTACGCTTACAATGTATCTTCCACTGACCCACATTTTGCCTTGATCCTGTAGCCTAATTTTATTTACTTATTTATTTATTTATTAGACTTCTACCCCACCCATCTAGACCAAATTCCAAATGAGGAGGCTGGAGTGCCAGTAAAGTTCTTCATCATCGGCTCCATGCATATATATTAATGAGGCTACATTGCTACTGTAATTAGGTGCCCACTCAAAACATGAGTGTTACGAGAAGCAGTCTATTTATCCCATACTTTTTCCTTTTCCTGTATTGAATTAGGTATCTCTGGAAGGGAAGTATCCGTTTCGAGGTTGTAAATGTTTCCATCTTCCATTGTTTTTTTGGCAACTTGCGTGAAAATGTTATGCTTCATACAGGTGCCACTAAGCAAAAGACCATAAAATGTCAGAAGGGTCATCACTGGTGTTAACAGGTTTCATTGATTAAGAAAACACTTAAAGCCCTTTTCCCTTGCTCAAGTTTGCCCAGCAATTGAACAGAGATGTATAATTGATGGGGTGCATACAGTGTCAAACAAAAGGGACAGGCACATACATTGAACATGTATTTACATTATAAATAAACTTGTTCGAACAATTGTGCACATTTTTTTCAACCTGAGTTCCTGCTTGATTTGTAACTAGGGGTAAGAATTTGACCCAAACCTAGTATACAGATCTACCTAAGCTTTGAAATGTTTGAGCTGGTGGACTCCCTGTGTGCTATGGTGACAGCAAGATCTGATGAAAAGGGGGCATGGTATTTTCATGGATCATCACAACTAGAGATGGGCACTTGCCGCAGTTTGGTGGTTCAGCATGGTTCACCCATGCAATATGGGTGCCCATCTCTAATCACAACCCTTTCATCCCCTTGTCCAGTGCTAGCATAAAGGAAGCAGTGTGTCACTTGGTGCACAATTCACTTACGGGTGGGAAGGATCTGGCTACCGCAGGCATGGTTTCAACTGTTCAGTCCTGCAACAATTCACAGCAGGTTGGGGGAAAGGATGACTGGTGTAGAAGCAACATGAGATAAGTTGCAGGAAGAACTGGAAAGGAACGATATCAGTATGTGTTGGGTATGATAGTGACAAGCATCTCTGGGAGTGCAAAGCTTGATGCAAACATAGACACACACCATGATTTCTTTTTGCACCAGTTATATA